TGGCATGACTATGGCAGTAGCTAATCAATTTTATTTGAGTAGCGTACTCATGACACAGCATCGAGACAAAATTGATCTAGAAGTAGCAAAGCAAATCCCAGCCAGGATTCGAAGTTGGTGTGTGAAATATATAGACGTCGTTGGGGACGTGAAGATGTTACAGTCATTTTACTTCCATAGCTTGTGCGTCGGCCATATCGGTGATCAGTTCGAAAGCATCATGGAAGAATGTGGAATTCCTTTAGGATTGTTGAATATGTCGAACGTTGAAAACAGACATCGCTGGCAAGGTAGACCTTCATTTGCTCAAGCCTTAACAGAAATCAATGCTTTCATGAGCGGAAAGCGTCGCAGAGAAGATGGAGTTCATCAGCCAATTGCAGAAGATGACTGCACATTCGAGGCAGCGTGGTCGTATTATGCCATTTCTTTGTTATTGATGAACAGTTGGCACAATTTAGAGAAAAAGGGAATTGAGTACAAAAAAATTTTAGAGGGAGGTTTAGGCGGTATGTAATAAATTAAATGTTAAAGTTTAAGATATCGCAAGGCGGAAAGGAGCCGTAATCTGCAAATTTCATACGTTCTGTGTAATTGGTGGGAACCTCCAAATCTCTTTGCCATTCCATCCATGCCTGAAAATTTTTGCCCATTTGAACGTTAACGAACCAGGACTAAATTTGTAGCGCTTTAGGCTAATCGTTAACGGCCCCTCTACGTAAAGCGATCCTGAAGAGTTTGCAAGCTCGAGAGGGCACTCCTTAAATGGTATATTCAAATACCGTTGCACGATGGATGACTTCAAAGATGTCTCAGGTATGATCCAAGAGCATGTGACGAGTGTACTGTAGCTTACATACGAACATTGGATCTCACTGGCCTGTTGATTTTCTGCTTGACAAAGCTTCAATAAAAACAAGATTGCGTTCACATCCGCAAGTTCGACATTGAACCGTAAGGGAGCTTCTTTTGCTGCTTCCAAACTTCGAACCTTGGGTTTTCCTCTGAGCTGCAACCATTTATGCAGACTGTGCCTGACTTTGGACAATTCCCGATACAATGAATCAACGATATGGACATGTCGGTTCAAAACGTTAAAATAATTCTGCAGATGATCCGCCGTTAGTTTGAAAGACTTGAAGAAAGAAACTTGACATTCCTGACTTTTGCGTTCAGATACGCCAAAATACAACCACCCGACAATGAGCAAGCTTTTCATCGAGATTCCTTTAAGAGAAACTTGCGCACAATTGATGGACACTATTCCTCGCATGTCTTGCATTGGACCTCATCCATGTAACTGCTTTGCAAGCAGTGGAATCATCCATGCGATCTCTGATCTGAATCAACCTTGTTGGAGATTTGATATTCTGTTGAACTTCGGTGAAAACACATCCTTGGTTGTACAGAAATGTAAACTGATACAAAATCATTTGAAACCTCTTTGATCAAACCGTACCGATTTTGCTTGTTTACGTCCAAGAAGGAAATTCCCATGGATGGCTGCAAGGCAAAACTCAAATGGCTTGTTTCGTCGTAAAACACACCGGGATTAGATTTCTGTGGCCTATTGTTAACGAACATCCTTTGAAAGAAGAATGGTAGCTTGAGAGTCTGGGGTACACCATTGCCATGTTCGTCGTCCACGTCGTCTGGTTGGGCGACGCTACAAGAAATTCTGATTCTCTCTCGTCCTTTTAATGCTGAGTGTCGTAACAGACTTGGAGAACGCATCTCAAGTCTGTTACAGCCGTGATCAGCGACAGACTTATGGAGTATGCGTGAAGAGGAGAGAGAAGCAAGAGGAGAGATGATGCCCGTGGTACCCCAACCCACAATACGGGTCATGGATACAAAAGGAAAAAGATGGGGTAGGGGTTGCGATTTAGTACCATAATCAAAAACTAAAAACATGTAAAATCCAGTGAAAACAACATATATGAATAGACCAAGTCCTGATAACTAACTTTTCTCAATATAAAAAATTCAAACCCCAAAAACCACCCCCATGATACAAATAACCCCCCCTTCAACAACAATGTCAAGGGGGCACTAGCGCGGCAAGATCCGACCGATATGTGTGATCCTCTCCAGGTCTGTGAACTCCAGCCACTCTTCCTCGCTCTCCGCCTGTCGTTGCGCTGCGTCGCTGGTGCCCCGCTGACCATCCGCCTCAAGCTCCTTGTCGAAGC